GAAAGAGAGCACAACAGAACAAGACAGAGACAAAGCGCATCCAGCAGTTCAGGGTGTAGAACCATTCACCAGCCAGAGGAGCTCTTGGGATGCTATCATCCCACCCTACCACATCCTCCCCTCTAGACCCCCCAGAAGCATCCATGATCGCAGTCCACAGTATGGGGTACTGCTGGTCCAGGGATGGCTCTTTAACTGGCTGCTACAGTGACTACAGTGTCTGCTGTCTGCAGACAAAAACCTGGTTTGATTAAAAGGCGATGTGGTCGTAAGCAACAGCCATCTTTCAGTGACTGTAGAAGTATGCCCACTATGAATATTTGGGAGTGGGAAAGCATGGATCATTTTCCACTGGAAGGAAGATAACCACCTGCATAGCAGGTGAAAGAAGAACATGCTCCAATGATTTGCTCTCCACAGCTTCATGACCTGAGATTTTACACTTTATCAGCAACACTGATGCAAGAAACAGGGAGCGAACCTCCCCTGGAGATTTACCTTCTGGAGGGACACAGGTTACCATGGCACTCCCCTGCTTACAAGCTCCTGACACAGCTTCCCGATAGGCACACTGCAGCAGGGTTTTCTCATCCCCGTGGCAGTTTGCTGACTGCAGGTGCAGGGGAACAGGCCACAGTGCGGGATGGCTCTTCTTCCCAGCTGTGCCGATCTCACTGGTACAGAGAATGCAACAGAGCGATGAAATGCCATGGCACTGCTTGACTCACAATTTCCCCTCCGTTCTTGTGATGCTCCAGTCCATTTGGGCCATTTCACAGCCCAGTGAGCCCAGTTGAGTGGGAGTGCATAAAGGGGTGGCCATTTACAGTCTAATGGGAAAGCATAAGCAAGTGCAAAGCACTTCCCACCACCTAACCTGTCTTGTGTTCCTACTTACTGCAGAGGAGTTGGTCTGGTCAGAAATGGCACCCTCGTTTGAGAGTGAGGAATAAACCCATCAAAAGGTTCAAACATTCAAATATTTGAATCACCCTCTTCCTCCTCTGTGGACCTTATCTCCTTGCTATTTGGAAGTTTGAAGGTCCAAATCCCAGTTTCCTAAAGAGGGTTCACACTCTCAAAATTTCTATTAGATCACGGCAATAACTCCAGCTGGTAATACTAAAAAGGGGATACAATCTCACAGCTCACTCATCACAGTCTGGAGCACCAAGCAGAAACTAATGTTTTAAAAAATTCTTGCAAATGTGGGTTAGGTTTGGCATAGCCACGGAAAGAAAACAGTATGAAAGGACCCTGGTAAGTAGGAAATGAGCCCACAAAACAAACTCCTCTCCCCTAGACAATGCACTATGCCAGAGGGACTGTAACCATAGAGGCTGCTCGTTCAAAGGCCACATGAGCATGTAACTCTCACAACCAGACTGAGGTTCCCACCTGAGACCCAGTTGCCTGCAGACAACGCTGGCATCCCAGTCAGTCCAGTGGTCAGCACAGATGGTGCCCCAGAGTCCACTGAAGTACAGCTCCACACTACTGTCTTCAGCCAACCGCACAGCACCTTCCAAAAGAAAAAAAAAAAAAAAAAGCTGCTATCTTCTGATGAAGGTTTCAGACCAGCAAATCTTGGACTTGCATGTAGCTGAGCTGAACTGCACATGGCTTCTCTCGTCCCTGTTTGGCTGGTGCTCTCACTGAAGCGACTTGTGTGAAGGACCGCGGGGCATGGCACCTGCCTGCTTCCAGCAGTGGCAGCTTGGGAGGGTGGCTGGCGCTATGTTCTTTTCAGAGCCACGGTCATATCGGCAGGAAACTTGGCTTCTGCCACAGCTCATGGATTCTCCTTCTGTGAAATGGGGATGATTTTACATGCTACATTGAAAAGGTGTCTGGAAATGGCAGGCTCTCTAATTCCTTCTGACTCTACACTGATTTATTTTCCATCAACCACCTTGCCTATGAGAGTCACTGTTGCTACAGCTAGACATTCAGTAGCAGCAGGTGAATCCTCTTTAATTTCTCTAAGAAATGCAAGCGCCAATGTAAATGCCCTTTCAATTCCCACTGCACCACAAATGTCTACGACTGTTTAGAAGGCACATCTCCTCAGTTATGTATTGGGAGAAGGATACACCTTCTGTCTGTAGTATCTCAGTGCAGGCACACATCACAACTACACCTGTATCCTTCACTTTAATGAAGCCGTCTTTGAAAGCACTTCCACTGGCAAGGGAAAAGACTTTATCATTTCATTTATTAAACTGGTACTTCATTGGTTCTGCAAAACACGAGAAAAGCAAGGAAGGCCAGAAAACAGAAGGACAAACAAAACATTTTCAAGAATGTTGTGCTGGAGTCAGTGCAGAGAGCTCAGCTCCCTTGCATGCCTCAAAGAAAGCAGCAGTCCTTGTGTCAGCACTGCGAGGAATTTTAAAGCAAGCCTATGACCTACCTTGCAACAGAAGATTTACAAACCTAGCCACAGAAGATTTTTCCTTGTTATATTTGAACTGCTACGCTTACATGAGGAGAGCTCTGATATGGACACTTAAGGAGCACGAGTGGGTTGTTTTCCACATAACTTAAACTGTTTTCAAAGTGACACAAGTTAACAGCAAAAAAAAAAAGTCTCCTTGTATGAGAATAAAAACATCTATACAAGGCGTTATGGCTACAGCAGCTTAAACCCCCCCCCTACTATATACAGACGTTCTTCCCCCACACAGGCTAGCCTCTAGTCCTAATTATATCAACAATTCAGGACAGTTATTGTACTGTGCTTGTCTCACAGGGTGTCCCACCTGCTGCTTCCAAGTCTGTGCAGCACACATTTCTGGCCTGAGCCCCTCGAGATGGTGCAGCCAGTCGCTGGCAGAGACAGGCATCAGCCCTTACCTTGGTTACAGTCACAGTTAGCCCAGCCAATGGCCCCTGACGCAAGCCGGTAGAAGCACCAGGGTGTAGTTCCCCCATCTGGGTTCCTGCAGTGGTTGTGGTCCCCCAAGCCGCGGTCTGGGTACTGCTGGACATAATCGGGGAACTCTGCCCAGCTGAGGCACTCTGCCCCAGCCTCGGTGACCGCCAGTGAGCCGTTGTAATACCCAAGAGCTCCGACACCGCAGACGCTGGACGCTGGGCACAGGAAGGGAGCTGTTAGCATCACTGAAGGCATCACACACCGAGGCTCAGACAATGTGGGAGATGCCGGCTGATCTCCTGAAACACCTCCCTTGTCTGCAGTCTTGATTGCTACTTGCTTCATTTCAATTCTATCACTTTTTAAGGCAGCTGCTCAAAGAATGTTTATAATACACACTGTCGATCTGAGAGTCATGAACTGCCCAGACAGACCTTTGAAATGTGTTAACTCTGGGCCCAGACATGGACAATTTGAACCAGTCCCCATTTACCGTTTATTTCAATAGATATATTCACTTACTCTTGAGCAGCACTTCAGCCTGGCACACACTCCTCCACTTCCTTCCCCGCTTGCTTTGGCACCTGAATAAGGTACTCTTAAATTTGACCCTAGGTTCTTACCTACCTGTCTAAATTGATTGAAACTGAGAAGAGTTTAAAATTAGATATAATTTCATTCTATAAAGCAGGAAGGTGGGAAATGACATTGTATTTCACTGTATATATGTTCCCGACACACATTAGCTTATCACCTGGCTTATCTGAATTTGGCCAATGTACAGGAAGGGAAAGGGAACCTATTTTGGGGGGAAGTGCCGGTGCCAATGTTCCAGGCCAGCGCCCACATGAAATATCTCATGCAAAGAAACCCCAACAATTAATTTAATATGGTCTTTAACAAAAGAAGAAAACTCTCTATTCATGACCCTGAAATAAGAAAGAGGGAAACCAGAACCAGATTCTGCGTGAGGGTGCGCTTTTTAGAGTCTGTAACATGGGAAGAGCAGACTCAGAAGGGGATAACAGTTACAGCTCTATTCACTGAATAAACAGAAAGAAGCCAACCCTTCCAGAAAGCCCTTCTGCCATAAAGGCATGTAGGGCAAACAGCAAGGGTACAAAGAAACTTTGCCTCATGCCATTTTCCTTCTAGCCGCTGCAAAGCCCAGAAGGGGTAAGTGACAGCTGAAGGTTAACTGCAAGGTACAAAAATGAGAAGCAGTTACAGGCAGGTGTCTGGAAAACACACAGAGTGCTTTGCATCAACTGGGACCCTCGGAGGGGATGTGTGAGAATTCAGTAGTTATTAGAGCGAGGAAAGGTGAGCATGCAAAAAAGACTGAGGCAGAGAAAGAGGTGAAAGGTGAAGAACATGTGGGAGGAGTAGGGAACTTCATGACTATTAGACATGAAGAAAAGAAAGTGGTCTGGTCATTTTGGGGAAGGAAATAAACAGACTTTGAGGCAGGAGAGAAGACTGAAGAAGTGATGGGAAGAAAGGAAGAACGCCAAGTAGCAGCGGTTCATCGTACCTATGGTCTCAGATCACCACTGCAGGAAAGAATCTGCCCGATGACTGAATTAATAACTTCTTGTTCTTACCTGCACTCTGCAAATGGTTTTGGTTGGGCTGGGATCCCAGGAAAGCCTGGGAAAAGAAACAGAGCAAAAACAGAGAGATGATTATCCGATGAAATAAACACGGGCATGTCCTAAAAGCAGCTCAGCCTTTTGCTGCTTTAGGCAAACACACCCTAGTAACCAGCCTCTTCCTCCCTCTCCCCATTGCTCCTCTTCAAATCCAATCACGGCTCTGCCCACTAACAGCAAAATGAATAATTACTGGCCTGCAGAGATTTACCCTTGATCTAAGCACTGCATTACAGGGCTCTGCTTGTTCTTTTCCTATAGAATTGGAAGCCTGAGTGAGATGCCCGTGGAAAGAAAAGCTAGAAGAAAATCATTGATACCAGTAAGAAAAGTAATGAATAACCACTCATTCTCTCTCCATTTATAAGGCAAGCCATCTATGGCCACAGCAGCAGATATTTATCTACGTGATGGGATGATGCCCTCAGGGATCCCTGTTAAAATAGTAATAAACACCCATGTACAAAGCGGGAAACACCTAAAGAAGAACATCCAACAAAGCTTTTTGAGGATTTTGGTTTTAATACATGAGAATATGATATGGCTTATGGTATTAATATCCAAGTGGGGTTAAATGCTACGAACAAAAAATATGAAACAAAGCCCTTGGAATTCCAGCATCCTGTCCGGCCCCAAAACCGCATTTCCTATATAGGCAGTGGTTTTGGTGGTTATAACTTGACTGCTGGCTGAGATAGGGAGTTCCACTCAACACCATTGAGCCAGGCAGTGTGCAGGCAGGTGCAAGAGCTTCATAGGCCCAGAGTGAAAAGAAGCAACTGTACATGCTTCTGCTAGCTCCTTGTAGTTTAATTCATTTCTAAATACTTGTTAATGAACATTTCTAATACTTTTATATGAACAAGGAGTTGTAATTCACTAAGCAGAAGTGTGCATGTAAAGAACACTAGCTACTGGAAATGGTTTTGGTTTTCTTCAAAATGCAGTAATTTTGCTTCTCTCAGCTTCATCTCTCCTTGGAAAACAGGAAGAGTAAAATCTGGAATTAAACCAAATCCACCTCTGGAATAAGCAGAGATAGTTCCCATAGATACCCGACAAGAATGACACCTACTCATGGCAGATGTCATTTTCACATCAAGCTTATGAATATGGTCCAGCAGGTGTTGACAACCACGGCCAAGCTCCAGCATCACTCTTCAGAAGTCAGAATGTGACATTGCGTATTGAAGATGAATTCCTGACCATGGTTCAGAAATAGCAGATCAGATCTCAGGTGCATATGCACAAGGGGATGCACAGAGGAAACAGCATTTAACTGAAAAACCCTCTTCAGCCAAAAATCCATCTATCTGCATGTATCAGGCTCTTGCAAGCCCACATAATGGTCTGTGAACCGACAATGCTGAAGGATGTATCTAATGATCTCCAAGCTCTTTGCAGAGAGGAAAGTAAGCTAAACTACACTTTTGTGACTGCACCAAACAGGTGACTGAACCACAATTCAGGTCCCCCAACTCCTAGCTTGTAGTGCACACCTGCATACATATGTAAGCCTGCAAGTGACAAGAGGGATGGGCTGGATTAATAACAGGCTATGTAAGAAAGCCTGAACCTGCTCTTCTTGGAGACGGACCATAAACGGAAGAACTGCAGTCCAAGTAACATGCTTTCCTTCTAATGAAAGATCAGTTGCTGCCAGTTCCCGTAGCAGCTTCCAAAATTCCCCAGCACTGACCATCACCACCACCAAATTTTAGTGCAAACAGCCTGTGCTGCAGTCACTGCCCCAGGTCCATGTGCCTATAAGTCATCTGTCCACACCAGCGATGGGGGTATTCAGTCAATCAGCAAAGAACAGAAACAAAGGATCTCTCCTGCCAGGGTCACTGCAGCGCCTGAGAAACATAGGAAACCTGAGCCAAAGCATCTGCAAGCCCTTGTGCATCCCGCTTCCCAGCTTTGTTCCTTTTCCTGAATTTCATATGCACAACAAAATAAATCCCTCCCCAAGCCCCCAGCCCTTCCCAGAGACCACAGCTGCCTAGACGCTTTGGAAAACATATTCAAGTAGTAACAAGACCCACTTACAGTGAGGATATTAAAAGAGCCATGTGACTTCTTACAAGCAGATAGAAGAATAACCATTTCTTACCTCCACACATCTGAGACAAGATAACAGACTTGCGAGCTCTACCAGGAGCCCGAGCACTTTGGGGATCTCCATCTCTCCTGTACAAAGTGGGCAGAAGCTTCTCCAAGCATCACCTTCTCGTTCAGCTGCCGGGCTCAGCTGCTGCCTCCTCCCCGGGCTCTGCAGCTGGGTGTCCCCGGGAGCCGGGCGTCAGGCGCTCCGCACCGGCGGGAGCGGGATGCCTCTGCCATTTCTCTGCGGGGGAAGGGATGTAAGGGAAGGGATCAAAGTTCCCTGCAGCATCTTAGAATTTCACTTTCCCCTTCCTCTCCCCATCTCTTCTCCTTGATTCTTCTCTCCCGAAAGGGGAAAAAGAGAGGAGAGAACTAAGGGAGGAGAACATGCCCCGGGATTTCTCCAGCACCCTTAGAACCAGGAGGAGGCAGCGCAGGCGGGTGGGGCACAGCCCTCGGCCCGCTCCCGCCCGCTCCCCAGGTAAGCGCTTCTCCCCGGTGCCAGCCTCCGCCTCTCCGCCCCTGCCTGCCCAGCGGCGGGGCCAGCCGCCCTCTCCTCTCCTCTCCTGCACTGCCTCCTCCCCACAGCACCCTCGTCCTTCCCTCCCCGAGGCACAAAGGCTACAGCTACGGCGAGGAGCCGGGGCTGTGTCCTGCAAAACCTCCCGCAGCAGAACTGGAAAAGGAAACGGCTTGTGCGCGCACGCTTGCCAGAGATTAGTCCTGTTGGAAGGAATCTGGACTTTATCCCCCCATCGCTGCCTCCTCGATTAGCTGCTTGCAGCTTCCTGAGGTCGAACTCTCCTCAGATTTGAACCCAGGTAAATGGGACCCAGAAAACTTTACGTTAAGCACCTTCCAGACCTCCCCATGTGGAAAACAAACAGGCGGCACAGCCCTCGCCAGGGTGCATTCCCGGTTTTCAGCCCTGCATCCCGCCATCATGGGTATTGCCTCCAGAGATCTTTGCCATCAAGTGTCTCCCTGACCTTGGGCTGTAAAGTTATTTTCACTCGATTGGCTAGGATGCTTTCCAGAGGGTTGATCATTATTGTATTGCTATGAACAATCCTATGGTTTGGTTTTTTTTTTTCGGTGTTTTCAGTTTACTGCTCCTTCATATGAATTACAGACTACAAAAAAAAGTTTTAAACATTATTAAATCTAAGCAGGGAACTGGTCCATTTGAAGCTGTTCAATGGCCAAATTTCTCTTCTACATGTTCCTTGTGCTGGTCCTCAGCTCAGTCTAATGGACATTTCCTACATTTATATTCTGATTTTGGAGGGATTAACTCCTGGTGCTCTGCAGCATGAAGCATGAAGGTCACCTTAAGAAATGAGCTCACTTCTGGCCAAGTCTGCTGAGCAGCATTTCCGAAGACACTTTCAGCATAAAAACAAGGAATAGGCTGATCAAAATCCATCGGCTTGACAAAAAGCCTCTTTTTTTCTTCCCTCACTTATTGCCCATTACTCACCTCACATGACAGTTTTGTGTTGCCTCATCCTCAGACACCCATCAAATGCAAGGCAATTCCACTACATGCTGGATCTTTTACAGGAGTCAGTGCGTGGTAGGAGGGAGCGCTTTCTGGAGTGGATTTGTACCACAGTGCATTCTGGACACAGTGGCTTTGGCCAAGAATTACGCTCACTTAATTAGGAGCAAATCTCCTATATCCTCGTAGCGAGGGAGGCAGATGATGAGGGCAACAGAGGATGGAAATAGCTTAGATGCTACAGCACACTGTAACTCTCAGGCAGGACCGGTAAAAAGGAGCAGAAGAAAAAATGGGAACACGTTGAAAGTTAGAACCATTTACTCCTGTGAAAACACAAAGAAAGGATATACTGGAGGTAGGAACAGAAAATCTACTAGCATTCAGAGAAATCTGCTCCTTAGTCAGTAGAGAGGTTGTTGATGCCCCTTCAGAACTCCCCTAAGATGCTCCTCTATTTGGCCCTCTGACAGATACTAATAGGGTTTAAAACCTCTAGCAAAAGCCTGTACTGGATTTCTCTCCCAGTAGCTTGTAAGTTGCTTACCTCCCAAGGCAAAGCTTTCCTAGATACAGTGATTTCCTAGATAAAGTGATTTTAAAGGAAGCACAGACTAGTGCACCAAAAGCAACCAAAGTCCAAGTTTCGTATTCAATGACAAACTGTGTAAAGATACAGTTGGTTTTTCAGTTGTCTCCTCTGTGGCGGGTCCTCTTTTGGAACTCCCCCTGGTTTTCTGGTACACATAATGGCACTTTCTTGAGAGAGGTGGATCTCAGATTCTCAAAAGCTTCTCATGGCTACATGGCCCTCTCCCAAGGTGGAGAGGAAGACCCAAAAGGAAATTACACCAATATAGCTATGGCAGTTTAGACAGGTAACATAAGGTAAAACAGATCTTGAACTTTCTTGCGCGAGCAAGTTTGAAGTAATTGTAAACACCCAAGTCCACTATTTAACACAAACCACCTTCTCACCCTGATATAAGCACAGTTCTATAATAGTAAGTCTATGATTCCCTACAGAGTCTTTCTATCTTGATTTTTCCAGATTATTCTGTCTTGACCCTTCTGGACAAGAACTACCATCTTCTAAAATGTTCTTAGCTCTTTGGAATTCAACCGGTTTCTCCTGAACTGGCAGGACTACTATTAATCAAGACCAGCTGAGGTATCAATGCTTCCTCCATAAGAGATCTTCAGTGAAAGCCTAAAAAGAGAGGTAGTTAATAGCAATCATACTCAGAGCTGGTATAACACTCAAGCTGTAAGGAAGCAAGGAATTCCAGCAGATTTGCTTAAATCCTGTAAATCCGACTTAGGAGGGTAGAACAGCTAGTCAGCTTTTGTTTAAATCTTTCCTCACCATGCAATCACAGACAGGTCTCTGCAGCAATGTTCTTAACCACTGGGCTCAGCACCAGAACCCAGTTTTCTTTTATTCCCCAGCAACAGCATCACGCGGTGGCACCAACGCTGAACTCGGACAGGACAGTGTCATTCACCGCAGTTATGCACGTGAACTATTAATGGGATGATCCCCAATATGAGCATGTCACAGAATGTGTTTAAATACACAATGTAAGCTTAACAGTGAGATATGGGGAAATGGCAGCAGCTCAAATTGCCAAGGCCAATCAGTAACTGGAGGTTTTTTGGTTTCAGCATAGGATCCTGAGATGAAAGAACTGCTGGAGTACTTTTAAAAGCAGCACTGTAAAACCTGAGTGCACCTGAAAAGCATCCTCTTTCCTTCCTTCTTCCTCCAAAGAAATGCATTCCTTTATGGACTGGAAAACCTTAGCATAGTAATTTCAAGTTTACAGTAGATATGTAAAAGGTCAGAAAAAAACCCAAACAACTGAACTTGCGAAGCTCACTGTGAAGCAGTAAAATCCAAAAATAGCTGTCCAGGTCAGTGGGAGTCATGCAACATTTCAACAGTAAAAACCGAACAAAAAAGTATTAGTTTCTCTGTTATATTCTCTTCTATAATGATCCAGTTCTTCACAGACACTAGAACTTGGTACATTTAGCACAGCTGCTAACTTAAGAGGTGCAAAACTATACTTGTATTATAAGTTTTAATACAAAGAAAGAAAGACCATCATCAACAGGAGTTAATTTAGAATTCATCCATTCCTCACACCCAACTTAGCTCGTCTCCTGCAGAAACAAATAATCGGCAAGTAGCTCTCCTTTTCAGAAAGCGTCTTTTGGATTGAAAATGCAAAATGTCATAGAACCAAAGTGCTTTCCCAAACTTAGATGTGGACATCATGTTCTTACTGAACCCAAGTCCTCTGAAAGACCCAATTATGCCATAACAGGAACAACAGAATAAGCTACCCTGTGGGATAACCCACTAACGAGCCATTCTAAGTAACAGTTAAAAGAAAATTGCTTCAATAACTTGAAAGCATACACTTGACCAATACTTATGTGATGAACAGGTATTGGCCTAGGGCTCCAGAGAAGTCAACTCCAGCTCCATGCAAAGTCTACAGTCACATGTGGGTAATCACACAGTTTGTATGTGCCTGACGCTCCTCTTACTCCGCTTTTTTTTATGCCCCAAAGAATTAGTAATATAAATAGTATATCATTAGTTCTCTAAGGCACTGCATTTTTCTTACTAAGTAGGTACCAGTCCTAAAGTAACAGGGACCTGCCTGCAGTTTTGTGGTACTCTAGTGAAAAAAAAACAAAATATAAACTAATGCATGATTTCAGTATCAGTCCATGCTTGAACTTTCTCTCCCACTTTCAGTTTTTTTACCAAAACAATGGAACACTTTGTTGTAGATTATGAGTTGCCCAAGCCAAACAACAGTTTTGCATTATTTTATTATAGTACAGACAACATACTTGATCTGACATGACACCATACCTGTCCCACCTGTAAATCAGAGGGCCTAAATCACAAGCTTCTATGTTAAAGTTATATTTGATCCTTACCAATGAACATATTGTGTATTAACAAGGTATTTTGCTGGAGATTTCTTCCTCATTCTACAGCCTTCTTGTACAGTAGCAGGAATTAAAAAAATTTCAAGAGGAACCAAATTGTGTATACATAGATGTAGGAGTATGCGTCACGAGACTACTATCAATTTTAAGTTGCCTCAATGTCTGGGCCCCAGCACTTTTTGACAGCAGCTCAGAAGTTAGACAGGAAGCTTATACACAAGGAAAAGCCACCCCCTAACTGTTAGAAAAGGCATTTACATGCATTCCTAGAAGATTTTGTTTCACAGTGAGGACCTGACTCTACACTGTGGCTAGTTGAAGAACACACTGCAGAAATCCTAAGACCGCAAGACCAAGAACCTCATGAACAAAGTCAGCTGATGGTCAAGACGGGTGTTGTTTGCTCTGGAAACAAAAGCGCAGTCAAGATCCACACAGAAGTGGTGACAGATACCACTTGACACCAAACGCTCACTCAAGTCTACTTTTCACTTTTTTGCCAAAGACTCCAACCTTAATTGCCCGTCTGCAGTCCCTTTAGTAAAGCACATTATACATAACGTGTGATCTGAGGAAACCTCCTCAGGAGCTTGTTCACTTTGCTTGAA